CAGTTCAGGTCGAAATATTGTCAGGGGCCGAAAAGTTGGCCGATGCTATTTGTTTCGTTAACGGGGCCTCGATAATAATTGAGAGGCGTGAACAGTTGCGAATGGCACGATGGCGAGTTACGATAACGGCTTTATTACTAAATTTAGGCGAAACTTGCGTGGATTAAAGAACGGAAACAATGTGACGGTAATATAGAATATTGCACGGTATATGCACAAGCACGGCATGGCCCACTTACACAAATAAATTCCTTTTGAATATTGATTCCTCATTGCGGTTGTTGCGGTTCTTGCACCACCACTGGTAGATAATAGAACCGTGACTGTTTTCGAATTTGCCTCCCAGCATCGGGGGAGACGTATTTGCAACCACTAACGAGCGCACAAATACGCGCCCCTCTACACACGCGCGCGCGCCCCCTCTCTTTCTCTCTCTCTCTCTCTTCCTCTACACAATTTGTAACGTATATAGTATATATAAGTTTATAACAAATTCAGCGTCGGATAATCGTGTTCATCCGAAAACGCACGCGTTAATTCTCGACAACGAATGATAACAGATATTTGGAATTAATTAGAAGACTAGACTATCGTCGTTCGTTTAGTATTTCGGTGAATTTCTATTTGACGAAAATCTATTTGACGAAAATCGATGAATTGGATAACGCATAACGCGTGGATAACGATCCCCTTCCCTCTCTCCCTCCCCCTTTACTCACAATTATTCGAGGGATACGATAATGTTAAGGAAGAAGTTATCAGTTACAGGAAGAAGGAACGTGGAAGAATTATACCAGTTCGGGGAATAAATTTGTTATTCCGCGATATACATTCCAACGCAGCGGATTTAAAAAGCGGCTGCTCGAGCGACTACCCCGTTACCCCATTCCACAGTTGCGCGACATTATTCCCGACGCGGCTGCGAATCTCTCTCTTTCCCGCTTTATAATGACGTTTCCTCCTCTCTCTTTTTCTTTTAATCTTATCCCCTTTGTCCGAGATGTTCTCGTCGGATCGAACGACGTTGCTTAGCGAAGGGATCAAAACTCTCGAGCGAATGATGCGAGTATGCGATTAAAGAGAGGGAGGAGGGAGGATAAGAAGGGGAAAAGATCGAATGGAGCGACGCGTGTCGCATGGGCGAGGGAGGATGAAAACGGAAAGCCACGAAATTGGAAGGAAGAACTGTTCTCGATCAACCGAGAGATATCGCTCCTCTGCCACTCTATAACGTTGCCAGATACATACGTATATCCGGTTACGCGAACACACATTTCCCTCGAATACTACTCTGGCTCAGACCTGAATTGACCTCGCGAATTTGCAACTAAAATGAAGAAACGAATTGTCGCTTACACGATGACGAATTATTTTTAAAAATAATAAAATTGGATCGGACGATTTTTCTTTAACTATCGAACGGTGCGAGATGTCGCGAAATTGGAAGAAATACGCAGGTATTTCTTTTATTCTTTTTTTTTTTTTTTAAAGTTTCTTCAACATTCGTATTCCCAGTCGCGTCGTTCGTGGAAATAATACGAGTCTGGACGTTTATGGAAATTTATGCCATTTCTTTTTTCCCCAGAAGCCAGAAGGAATATTTATCTACTCCAAGTCACTACTCCAATACGAGATACGTGTCGCGATGGAGGAGTAATTTCGAGTCATTTAATCTTTATTCTTGGATACGAGCGTGTGCGTGTATATATATTTATATATATATATAACAGGTCAAGCGTTAATTATTGACGGATAATCCTACAGGGACAGGGTAAATAGAACGGATTAAAAGTTGGGGTAGTCAAAGAGGATAATGTTTTTTGCAAATAGCGGGAATTAAAACCCGTCTCCACGATCGTTATTAACCTCTGAAATCTCTGTTCCGCTGAGCACCGATACCACCGGCCACTTCCCTCTAACAATCCCCGGGGAAAGGAGAATTCCAAAGAGAATTCCACCCGGTGAACGAACAACGCGGATTTCAACGATGCCGGGGGAAACCTCTGGCGTTGCCTCGAAATTGCGAGAACAAATGTCGTTTTCTTGAACAATGCGGCTAACAATTTCAACCGATAGAGAGAGTTAAAGGAAGAGGGAAAGGGAGAGAGAGAAGGGGTTGGTTCGAAGTAAATATGAGATTCGAATATTTCGAAAGGGAACAATTTACGAATGCTCGTTTAAACGTGTCTCGATCGTTGGATCTTTCCTGAGAAAATCTCCTACGTACGAAGAGAGAGTAATCGAAAGCGCAATGAGGGTTTTTGGAAGGGGAAAAACCCTTCTTATTGGAGAGAAACAGAGAAGAAGGGACAAGTGTGTTCGAAAGAATCTAACGATTAGGTTTAGACTTATCTGTGCTAGCCTCCCTGAATGTTTCCCTTATGTGCACGTGTGTGTGTAGAATGGGATAAAGGATGGAAGATTGCTCGATGCGTGACATCACATTAATTAATGCCCCAAGAACCAATTTCGAAACCCTTGCGCCAGCTATTATACCTTCCATGTCTCCGGGCTGGATTCACGTTATGCATATTGCACGCCCCGTCCTTGTTCTTCTCTTCTCGTTTTTCCCTCGTTTCTCGTCTTCTTTCCCCTCCCCTCCGTCTTTCCTGACGCGGAGAAAATCCCCTACGTACGAAGAGAGAGTAATTGAAAGCGCGAAAGGAAAAATGAAACGAGCGGTGATGATATATTTTATTATTCGAGGAATCTCCGAGTGAAATTGCGTATATCGTACGTTATATCCGCGGTGTATATATATTTTTAGAAAAAGGGAGAGAAAGAGAGAGAGAGATTGAATTTTACTCGAGACAACAACACAACAACACGAGACAAGTTCTTATCCCATTCCGGTAAAACGGTTCTGTAAGAAAGCGCGATGCATAAAGCGTGAAAAAAATACTTTGCAACGCCTTCGTTATGTAAGAGCTGCTTTCAACCAAATAATGTTTTTTCACGAGTTACATGTAACGCTCGAACACGTGAACGGGTTTTATTATCATCTAACCGATGGATTATTAGTCCCTGCTCGTTTCAACCTCCATCTCGCCTTCTTCTAAGTTTCTATCTCTCGTCTAACCCTATCCTTCCTGTTCCAGCTTCTTCCAGCTTCTTCGAAACGAGTGGAAATAAATTCACGGATTCGTTCGAGTCGAAACCTGTAAAATAACTCGCCTCCACCAGCCACAGTGAAATATATACAATTCTGCCTGATCGAGAAATACGAGAACACGAATATTTCCCGCGTGACGAAAAATACAACGTCATAAATCTCCCTTTCTGGTTCGATAAGTAATAGGATCCTCGCTTCGAAGCAGCTGGATGGAAAGCGCGAGAAGAAAAAAGGCATGCATCATTTCAATGAATCTGGAGGAGGGCATACATCGATCGAATAATCTTCTAATCGTCGCAAATGTTAATCTGCGACAAGATTACAACACAAGTTTCTGTGAGAGAGAAGCTGGCCACTCCTTCGTCAGTTTGCTAATTGAAAGAAGAAACAATCGCGTTTATTATCGTGGCGGGATGAAGCTTGCGAGAGAACGACTTTGCAAGGTAAAATGTTTCAGAGGAGAGGATTATATATAATAATGGGTCGTATGGCCGAGAAAAATGATATCGGTGATGGGAAGTGGCCTTCTTCTACCTTAACGAACACATCACCGTATTTCTTGAACGCGAGTTGAAATGTAAACTCGCTCTCTCCTCCCCTCCTAAAAATAAAAGGGTTTTGATGTAACGCCGTCCACGCGTATTTACCGACGCGCTTCACTCTGCAGTTCAAGATATCCCTCCGTCTCGAGAGAGAGAGAGAGAGAGAGAGAGAAGCAAAATTGATTCTCGTTACGAGAAAAATTACCGGTTAAAAGCGTGCCGAGTTCAAAGGCGCTTTTGTCAAACTGTGGACGTTTAAAGAGTAGGAGCAGTAAATATTTGATCTTTAAACAACTTGCAGTTTTTTGTCAATTTTATTAAACAAAAAATACTTAAGGACGAGGTAATAAAACGTACGCGAATGTACGGAAATGGGGTATCTGCTTCCATTCGAAACTAGTTCCCTAATATTCTTGCTAGTGCTTCGTGCAACGACGAAAAATAATCCCATTTACCGCGATATGCACGCGATGGGCGTTGAAAGAAGATACAGAAGAAGAAAAAGAAGAAGAAGAAAAAGAAAAATCCTCCCTCGTTAACCAAATAAAATTTTATCCTAGTTAAGTCTACGAAAAAAAAAAAGAAAGAAAACGTGAAAAAGCGATCAAACGCGTTGTTAAAGGATCGCGAATTATTCGCTCGATCTGATGTAGGAGACTGGAGATCCCTATTAAACGAGAAAGCAACGGAATAAAGAGCGTTGTCAGAAACCCTTTTCAAATATCATTCTAGCCTAGTCCTAAATTCCTCCCTATTGTTCGCCCCTACCTTCGTTAGGTAAATTAGAAAACCGAGAGAGAGGGGGGAGAGGAAGATTTTTCTTCGAAGCTGGTCGTCTCAATTGGGCTCGATCCCATTTCCCTCGTTCAAATACTCGGCTCACGTATAATAAATCTTCCAACTCTTTGAGGAGAATTAATAAAGTAGGAGAAAAACGTCGGTTTACACTTCCCTATATTTTTACTTCCCTCCCTCGTTTCAAATTAATTCAACGGAGTTAAATCTGAGGAGAGGATCGACGGGAGAATCGATCTCTCGCGCGGCGATCGTTCGTATTACACCATTCGAAGATCGCGCGTGAAACGTGAAACGTGACGCTTCCCTGGGCGTTGGAGGTTTTCTCTCGCGGAAAACTCCGTAGAAAATTTGGAAAAAGAGGGGGGAGGCAGGGAAGGGAGGCGTAGAAGCGGAGGCGGAGAGATGGTGGTGCAGAAGCGGCGGTCGTGCGCCTCTTTTTCCACTTTCGAGTGCAACGAACAGAAGCTGCGCCGTTGGGGCGGCGTTGAAAACGCGCAGCCACCCTCGACCCTCGGCCGGTGCATGCGCAATGGTGTATCGATCCCGGAGAATCCGAGATGCACGTAACATCATCCAGTGGTCCATTGGCTGTATACAGAATACCATTTCTCCGTTCATCCGCCGCGCCGTTTCGCGACCATCGCCGACGTTTCGACCAACGAAACGACGGGACGACGCGTCACAGTGATGCGAGACCGTCGCGTCCCCGATCGCCGACCGACCGCACGAATCGTCAACGTTTCGAGGAATCGGGACGCTTCGTTATGAGACACGTCGGCAGACGCGAGATCGACTCTCGTGAGAGGAAGAGCACTCGGGGAGATTGAAGTACGTAACTATTCATTCAATACTTTGTTGTAAACATTGTGATCGATCGATCGATCGATCGATCGATCGCTTTGGTCGAGTTCCTTTTGTATCGAATTATTCGCGAATTATTATTGGAAAGAAATTTAAAATTTCCTCTCGAAATTTTGCTTGAAACAATTCGAACGAATTTTAACTCGAATCATTTTCATAGCTTCGAGGAATTTGAAAACGAATTTTGAAATTTATATTAATTTCATCGTCAATTGAATAGTTATGCCGGATCATTTCAGAATGAAATCGAAGATACTTTATATTAATGTAAATATCGTAAACGCGGTTGCATCTTGGCTCGAAGTAAAAACTTTTAATCTTAAAAGAAAACGTTACTACTTGCGTTACGTATATTTCGATAAAGATACAAGAAGCAAGAAGTGAACGCAACAAGTCTACGATATCTACACATCTATCTCCAATATATAGCTTCTACTACAATTTTGCGTGTAAATAAACAGGATGCCGATCGGATCTGAATCCGGAAACTAGCTACGCTACCATTTAAAATGATACTTCAGGCGATCATCTTGATCCTCTCCGCAAGGATATGCCACGGCAATCCGGACGCGAAGAGGCTGTACGACGATTTGCTGTCGAATTACAATCGGCTGATACGCCCCGTTTCGAATAACAACGACACCGTAGTCGTTAAACTAGGACTTCGTCTGTCCCAACTGATCGATCTCGTGCGTGGCCTTTTTTATTATGTATATACATAATAATAAACAACATTTCGAAATTTTAGAGTAACGAAATTAATAATTGAAAATTTGCAGAATTTGAAGGATCAAATTCTCACGACAAACGTTTGGCTCGAGCACGTAAGTCTTCGATCGAGATTCTATCGAGAATCTATCGCTATCGGGCGAAGCATCGGTTAATCGAGAAATCGAATTCATTTGCCCAGGAATGGCAGGATCACAAGTTTCAATGGGATCCGGCAGAGTACGGAGGTGTCACCGAACTCTACGTACCAAGCGAGCACATATGGCTTCCCGACATCGTGCTCTACAATAAGTACGCAACACTAAATCTAAATCCAATAAAACAATCCTTTTTCCTTTTGGCGATTACCATCGAAATTTGGCAAATTTGGTTTCAGCGCGGACGGGGAGTACGGAGTCACCACGATGACCAAAGCTATCCTGCATTACACGGGGAAGGTACTATGGACACCTCCGGCTATCTTCAAATCCTCGTGCGAGATAGACGTTCGATATTTTCCGTTCGATCAACAAACTTGCTTCATGAAGTTCGGTTCGTGGACTTACGACGGTATTCAGGTAAAAGAAAAAAAAAAAAAAAAAAGCAACTTCTTTCCGC